TGGACTTAAATAGGGGTGGATTTGATTTCACCTGTATGGGGTTGGTTTGAACAAATTACTAAAAGTGAAATCAGTTAATTGGAACGTTCTCTGGTTGTTGGTGACTGACACTGTTCAGCTACCAGCAAATACAGGTCAGGAATGGCAATAAATTCCAATAAATTCCAATAAATTCCACATCTCGCCATGTCCAGGCAGTGCTCCCACAGCTTGGACCCATGTCCACGCCTCAAATTCCCTCCAGACAGCGACATCGTCACCAGTTCCCCCCGTGGCTGTTGGGTCCTGCAGACCTCCGAGGTTTCAGCCCTCTTGCTGTGCTCATTTTTTATTCCCTTTCCGTGAAGGCCCCGGCACGGCCCCGGGCCCCGGCGGCTCCCGGCTGGACGCGCTTGGGCGTTGCTGGATCACATGGAGGGAAAACAGCTCAGAGTGTCCCACACACGGACCCGGCGGCCGCCAGGGCTGCGAGCAGCAGCCAGATTTTGGCTTTTTATTCACGATGACACAGGAAAGACGGAATGTCTCCCCTCCGACCCCGGGAAGGGTCACACAGATGGCTTCCAGGCCCGGCAGAGCTGTAGGACACGGGATAATTCCCCTGCACATGAGCTGTGCTGCTTCCTCTTGTGTAACTGCAAGATTTTTGCAGCTGGAAGTCACAGGTCCTGCGGCTCAAACCACGAGAGCAGAGCCGAGAGCTTTGCCAAGAGGGGCCAGGCCTGGAATTTCCTCCTGGTACGTATTTGGAGCAGGAGAGACCCGAGCTGTGGGCTCACATCTGGGGCTGCAGATGCTCCCAGCCCGAGGAGGATGCTCAGGGGAGAGCTGGGAGCTATTCCCTGTGGGAATTGCAAGGCTCCTGCTGCTCCAACACCTTGGGTGGTGTTGAGCCTAAATTAAGCAGGGACTGAAGTTCAAAAATCCATGTAATCCATCCCAAATCAGTCCAAGGATCAGCCCATTCCCACCCACTCCCATTTGTCATTCCCTGCCTGGACTTTCTCCTTTTTGGCAGCAATCCGTGCAGGATGACAGCTCTTCCTACAAATGCCTGTATTCACAGCAGATTTGGATGCAGATGGAAAATCCTCCTTTGGCCATTTGGCCTCTGATTTTTAATGAACTTCTCCACCTGAGGCCCTGGGTCGAATCCCTTCCTAGGGAGGATTTATTAAATCACAGCTTATTCCCCCAAATCGGGGCGGGCCCGGGCGCTGCTGGAGCCCCAGCCCGGGCAGCCCGTCCCACACACGCAGAGCTGGCAGAAATCCACGTTTTGCTGCATTTTCCAGCCGCGGGGCCGCTCTCCCCTGTGACCAGAGCAGGGAACCGTGTTCCCGTTTTATCCTCACAGCCCGTTCTGCCCCGCCCGGCCCGGCGCTGGCGGCGTTCCCCTCTCTGCCACCGCTTTGGGTGGCACCGGGCGGCACCGGGAGGTGGCCCCGGGCGGCACCGGGAGGTGGCACCGGGCGGCACCGGGAGGTGGCACCGTGCCCAGCGCGGTGCCGCGGCCGCAGAGTGATGCGGGACCCTGCTCCGGCGAGCCCGCCCTGGGAGCGTTCTGCGCTGGGCTCGGAAATGATTATTTCTTTAATTGCGCTCTGAAGCACAGCCGTGGGGCTCCCTCTGCTGCCGCGCGGCTCCGCAGAGGCGAGGGCGGGCGGCACAGCGGCGATCCGGGCAGGGCAGCCCAGATGTGCGGCTCCAGATGTTGGCTGCCGCTGCCCCGGACAGCCGGGCCCTGGCGATGCGATTCTGCCCGGGGCTCGCTGGTGTCCAGCTGGGCACGGCGCAGGGGATGCCACCCTCCCCGTGGTGCCGCGGAGCGCGGGGAAAGCCCCACGGGCGTTCGCGGTCCTGGCGCTGAGCCCCGCGCCGGGCAGCTGCCGGAGGCCGGGGGAGCTCGGTCTGAGCCCCCACATCCCCGGGGTGCCCGCGGAAGCTCCACATCCCAGAACTCCAGCCTGCACCCAGCCCTGCCCCGGCTCCCGCCCCAGCCCCGCCCGGGACGGAGCAGGATCCAAGCAGAGCCCCTGTCCCCATCTGCATCCAGTCCAGTCCTCGCTCAACCCGGCTTTGGGCACACCCTGCCATCTAGAACAGGAGAAAGCCAAAGGCAAGGGAATAGCTTTTCCCTCATCCAAGGATGTTTTAGGTGAGGGCTGGGACCTCTGCCCACAGGTGGCACCTCAGTGGGCTCTCAGGTGCTGGGAAGGAGGTGTGGAAGTTCCCAAGCCCAGAGGTGACACAAATTCCTTCTGCAACAGGGTCTGGGTGTGAGGGAGGGCTCCAACAAGAAGAAAACATAACCCAGAAACCGGTGAAAACAAACTGAGGTGGGTTTAAAGCTTGGAGAGGGGACGGGTGACACGCACAGAAGGTCCCACTGGGGCAGGGTGACACGAAGCGCAGAGCAGGGCAGGGGTGCCCTCGGGAGGAGGGCGGGTAAGGGCTGAGCCCTGCCCTGCTCTGGGGTCCCAGCAGGAGCGTGGCAGAACAGCTCCGTGACTCACAGCTTTACACAGAGCCTTGGGCTTGGGAAGAACAGGAGGGGAAACGCCACAGAGCTCACCCAAAATGAGCGACATGGAAGGTGACACAGAGAGGGAGAACTCGGAGAACTCCACAGGCCCTGGAGGTTTCCAGGAGGAGTCCAGAGGGCTCGGGATGAGCTCGGGGAGCAGTTCATCCCCAGACTGATGCTTCTCCCGGTGCCGGATGGGTGGGATGAGGCAAGTGTGATCCTGGTGGTTTTTAAGGATTCTTGCCGGAATGTGAGGAACAACAGAGCAGAAAGTTCAACTCCCCTGTGGAGCAAACGGTTGGGACTTCTACAGAGCCGGGTTCACGGAGAGAGCAATCAGCTGAGAACTCCGCGTGGCTTTGGCCTATATTCTGGGAAATAGTAAAGCTCTTGGAAATGTGCAGCAATGGGGGATGGGCTGACCTGGCACGAACAGCCACTAACTGGGTCATTTACAAATTAATAGCTGAGGGGAGGAAATCCTTCAAAAGAGTGGGAATAAAACAAAAGCACGTCAGGATCTGTGCCCGGAGAAGTCACCAGAGGGGCTCCCCAGGAACACACGGTTTCCATATGGAATTCTCTGCCACGGAGGTTCCATGGCTGTAATTCCTGAGCCACTTCAGAGCTGTCCGAGCTGGGGGTGCAGACACAGCTTTGGGCTCCTGCTCGCAGGCTGTCCCAGGTGCCAGAGGCGTGCTGGGTTTTCCATCAGCAATTCCTCAGCAGCAGCACACAGCAGGCTCAGAAAGGGCACTTGGAGTTAGGGGCACCTTTAGCACGGCCATTTCCGCAGGAGCAGACTCAGCTGCTGGAAGCGGATTTCGTTTGTCTGGGCAAGAATGAATTCAGCACCTGACATGACCTCGGGTTTGCTTCCCGGGCTTTAAATCCTGTCTCCTCCTTCTCCTCTTGAAGAATCCCTTAGGAAAGCAGGATGCTGCCTTCCGGGCTGCACGAGAGGCAAGCCCAGCCATCCTCGGCGCCTCTGGGTTTGCTGTGCCCACTGGGCACCCCCACGAGCAGAGGGCAGCCAGGAGGGAGCTCCTGCAGGCCCCAGTGCCCAGACCCGGCTGCCCGGCACCCTCACACCCTGCCCAGCGCCAGGGAGGGGAGGGGAGTGGGGGAAACTGCCCGGGAAGTCTCTGGGGTTAGAAGGTCCCAATGCATCCAGGAATGTGTTAAAGCACAGGGCATGGAAAGCACTGCCTCTAAATCCAGCACTGCACGGGGGAGGGAGGGAGGGGACGGGTCCCCAGTGTCACCAAACAGCGGCAGCAGGGATCATGGTGACAGCCCCAGGGCCTGGGCCAGCCCAGCTCCTCCTCTGCTGGCCCCAGGGACCCCAAACAGGGCTCTGCCTGTGAAAGCAGGATAATCCCAAACCCAGCTTCCAGCTGTGCCTGCACCATCCCAGCTGTCTTTCGCTATTTCAGAGCAAAGATTATTATTATTATTATTATTATTATTATTATTATTATTATTATTATTATTATTATTATTATTATTATTGTATTACTCCTGGAGTATTTCTGCTCTCTAAACCCTCCAAGCTCAGCCCCACCCAGGTCTGAGGTGGGGCCAGCATTGTCCAGCTGATGCTCAAAAATCTGGCTCAGTTGGAGTCCTGGGGCTTGCAGAAAAAAGCACATTCAGAGAATTTCTCTGCTCTGAGGCAACTCCCACTTCCTGCTCCCCAGGAAATCCCAGCGAGTGAGAATCAAACCAGACTCACACCCAACTGCAGCAGAGATAAGAAATTTGGTTCTGATCCATGACAGGAATGCAATAAACTGCCAGTTTCTCAGAAGCCAAAACCCTGACTGTTTGCCAAGAGCTAAAAATAACCCAAAGAAGGCTCTATTTAAAGGCACCTACAAAGAAAGGCCTCTGTCCTTGGTTAAATAAACTGCAACTTCCAGAAAAGCCCTGTTTCCCAGGAGTCTGGGGGGAGCTCTGGCAGCAGGTGAATAAACAAACCTTTTAACACATTTTAGAAGCAGGAGCCCGTGGCTGGAGCTGTGCCAGCCCCTGGCCCAGCAGAGGACAGGGGCTGGCTGGGCTGGAGCAGGAAGGATCCCACTCCTCCCTGCGGGTCCCACGATGCTGCTGAAGGGTCTTTACTCGGGGGTTTGCATGAATTTGGCCTCTTCCCGTTGAGTCCCTAGAAAGGAACGATCCCTTGGATGGAAGTGGGGACTGAAGCTCCTCTGGTGTGGGACTGAGCAGGGTCAGGGCAAGGGGCACCTCTGAGTGCCCCCAAAAGGAGATGAGCCTCGGGAGACGGCGACTTCAGCTCTGTGTGGTGCCAGCTCCAGCACTGGGGCAGCGTTTGGAGCCCTGGCTGACAGAGCTGTGCCAGAGCTGGAGGAACAGCACTGCTCAAGTGACCACAAACTCCTGCTACAGGTGCCTGACAAGGACACAGGGCAGAAATTAGGCTGAGCCATGAACCACAGAAGGGAAGTCTGGGCTGGTTAAACAAAGCAGCATTTTAATTTCAAGATTTTATAAATATGTATTTACAAAAGGAAGGTATCAATCCAGAGTTAAACAAATGTACAGCTGCCAGTCCTGCAGAGCAGAGGGACAGAAACCAGAGTAATGCAACCCCACAGTGCACAGCACCCAGAGACAAAAACAAACCATGATGTAAATTCTTCATGTACAATTCCTCAGCCAGAAGGCTCAGCACGTGCTGCTGTAGAGCACCAGCTGCAGGGACAGAAGCGCAGAGGAGGAGCTGGCCCCTGTGCAGGGATGGGCTCAGGCACAGCACTGCCAGCCCACGCAGGGCTCAGACTGCTGGGGAGCTTTGGAACAGAGGGTGCACGTGAGGTGCCACCCTGCCAGCCCCAGTGTGCCAGGAACTCACAGCCCCACACGCTGCTGGCCCCAGGAACAGCCCCAGTGTCCCCTCCAGGACACCACGGCCTCGGTGTGCCAGGCCGGGCACACCAGGGCTGCTCTCTCTACCCCTGCCTGCAACCTGGTCCTGCTCTTGCCACTCTGCAGACAGCCCAGGCCTGCAGGGATTCCCAGAGACGCAGGGCTTTAGGGTGTTCTCCAGGTCTGTGAATGCTTCAGAAAAGCAGAGCCTGCTCACAGGTCACCCTCTGCAGCTGCCGTGAGACTTCAGGGATCTTCCCAGCAGCTCCATTCGCTCACTGCAGCCATTCAGAGCCATTCCAGACACACTGAGGGATGCAGGGCCAAAAAATCCCTCCCTGACCTGTAGCAGAAGCAGCAACAACCTCCAAGAGCAAGATCTGCCCACAGCTGAAAGTCCCAGGCACCGGTGCTGAAGGAGCAGGAGAGTTCCCAGGGCTCGGCTCGTACAGGGCTTTTCCGAAGAATCTCCAGCAATTCATTTGAAACTCATCCAGTAGTTCTAAACCTCTATGAACCCACTCAGGCTATCTTTTAATTTAAAGTTTAAGCAAATTAATTCTTGTTAATCAAACTAAAGAGAAGACTTAAACACAAACTGCTAGTGGAAAATGGAATATAAGTTGCCAGGAGTGTTAACCTCAAGTCTTGAACAGTTTATTTACTTCTTTTGATTCACACCTTGTGTGCAGCTCCCAAATTAGTCAGAGCAACTTCTCTGTTGGTCACTGCTGGGAATGCAGCCTGGCTGGAGGCTCCCACCATGCTCAGGATGCTGCTTGGTCCTCTGTAGCCATGGTCTGCAGGAGGCAAGGTCAAAGAGGGCAGGAGAACTGCTGGGATTTGGGGGCAAAACATTCATTTCTGCCAGAGCCTCAGACTGGCCTGGGCATCTGGGTAACCCCTGCCAGGGTACAAGAATTCAGGAGCAAACCAAGAAGGGGATGGGCCCAGCACAGAGTGCCCAGAAAGGCCATCAGAGCTTGAGCTTCTGATCACACTAATGGCAGTGATTCCAGCACAGATCTATGAACCTGTGGCAGCCAAACGCTGCTGCCAGAGATCAACACAGCCAGAAAAAGCAGCCCAGCAGCAGTGAAGTGGAACTGGGGTGGTTGTTCCTGCTGGAACATTTGTTCCCTCTCCTGGAAGGAGGAAACCCAGAGCTGAGGGAGAGCAGGAGCTGCTGAAAAAGCTGGGTGGAGTGGGGGAGAACACAAAGGGCAGTGGCAGCCCTTTCAGCCAGGAGCTGCTCCCAGCACTCCCGTGATTCCCATGGCATTTGCCCATGGCACCAGCCGATACCACAGCACTGCACGTGGGGCTGGCTGGCAGCAATTAGCAGTGCTCTGAGCCTTAATTAACGCACTCAGGCTCCCAGGCAGCAGCGTGGGAAGGGTCCCACTGCACAGCTCAGAACACCAACAAGCCCCTCCTGTTTCTCCCAGGGGTGCCAAAGCCCTGGAGGCCTCACCTGCCGCAGGAACTGCTTCCCCAGGTAGCTGGTTGCCATGCTGGTCAGGGTCTTCCTGCTGCCAACTTTACACCTGATGTAGCCGTAGAGGTTGGCTCCCTGCAGCACCACCCCCATCACCACCACTGCCTGTGCCAGGAAAAAGCTGTCAGCTCCTGGCTCAGACAGGGCAGAGCCAGAGCGGGGCTCGGGGCACTCACCAGCCACTTCACTTTGAAAGAGAAGAGAGCGCTGAAGGCAAAGATCACCCAGATCATGGGGCAGGTGATCAGACCCAGCCAGAAAATTCGGGACTCTGCTTCAGAAGAGGTTTTACCCCCTTGTGCTGACACCTAGAAACAGAAAGGAAATGGCAGTGAGCAGGCTGCTCCATCCCACAGATCCCATGTCCTTAAAACCAGGGCACAACCCCCACACTCCTGGGATTTCCCTCCACACAACAGCACTGGCTGCTTCCATGACTCATTTCCACATCACACAAAGACATCTCTGCAACAGAAAGTGCTTCCACTTAAGGGAATCTCTTCCATTTCCTCTCACAATCACTGGAGACAGCAGCATCAAAACCTCTTGGAATGCTTGGGGCTAGAAGGGTAAGTTTGGGAAAAATGGCATTTCCTGCATGGTTGTTACAAAGCTTAGAAACAGCCAAAGGAGTAATTTCCTACCTCCAAAATCCACACACTTACATTACCTGCATTAAGCCAGATCAATACATCATGAGACTTTTTTAATAACTCAACAACCAAAAAGCTCATCCAGCAGCCTGCACAAAACGAGGTCTGTGGCTGCCAGTAAATGCTCCCTGTGCAGCCTCCCCTCAGCAGTAGCAGCACCACTCATCAGGGGGGTCACAAAGCAGACACGAGCACCAGGTGAGAACAAAACCACTGACCTTCCTGGCTTCAAACACCCAGTGACTTCTGCCATCATCATCCACCTGGTTCCACCAGCGGAGGCCAACCATGAGCCGCCCTGTGACGTTCTGGAAGAGAGCAGAACCTGTAAGCTCTGGGTCTTCTGCCAAAGAAACCTTCTGCACAGCCCAGGGCCCGGGCTGCTGCTTCCCATGGCGCCCGTCTGCCTCACATCTGGGAGAGCCAGATCCACAACAAGCCATTTTGTGAGATCCAGCACAAGGGCAGGGTCGTGGTGGTTCTGAGCTGGCAACAAAGCCTCAAAAGGGAGTCTAAGAAATGTTCTCCACTCGGCTTTCAAAAGGAACCAAATGCACACAGGTGCCAGAGTTTATTTCATAGCTCTCTGCAATCCATCACAGCACTTGAAGGAGTTTCGGTGACACACTTTGTGTCAAAGGCAAAATAAATTATTTTTCTGAGACATGAGTATCACTGTCAGTTATTTTTACACAGCAAGGCAAAGATAACAAAAAGCACAAGGGGAACTGACCTTTACAGCCCAGAAGTCACAGGACAGGAGGAGGATGATGGTCACCATGCAGGCAATGAAGCTGCTGGTTAAGAGCTCACAGAGCAGGTACACAACGATGGCACTGACCCGGAAGAATAAGTGGAAAAATGATGCCACTGGGTGCCTGGAACGAAGGACAACAAGGTCACAGCTCCTGCAGACAAGTGACACTGCCTAGGGATCTCCCAGCAATGCACAGGATAAGGGGCAGCACTGTAACGTGGACCCAGTGTCCTGGAAATATGGGCAATAACTGCCTGGAAGCTGACACAAGGAAGAGACATTCCAGAAACTCCCTCTGTCACCACCAACCTTATTTTTGACTTCTTGGATCTCCTGGATACATCATCATCTGCATCGAAGAGAGACACATCTTCAATGTCATCACTGCTGTCCTGAGGTGGGAGCAGAGACAAAGGGTTACAGGAGAAAGATGAAACACTTTCCAACTTCAACCTGGCGTGGTGTTCATCACCCAAAAACCACAGAGGCGGGATCAGAATGCATTTGGGAAGAACGTGAAGGTCTAACCACACACAAGCCTACACTGTGATCTGAGAAATGATCTGAGGGCTCGGTTTGGTGAGCTGAGCCCCAAGCTGATCACAAAGCCTGCTGCTCACAGGTGTGCCAGGAGCACCGGCTGTACACGGGAACACACGGCTGTGACACACGGGAGCACCGGCTGTGACACACGGGAGCCCCCGGCTGTGACACACAGCCCTGGACACTGTCCTGCTCTCCCTGCTGCAGCCAGGGCAGTCCCTTTGCTCTGCGTGCCAGGAGAGCCTGTGCCCGGGGCTGTGCCAGCACGGAGAGTGCCCTGAGAGAAGCGTTCTGCGTGAGTCACTGTGCAGGCAGAAGCACGGAGCGGCCCCCGAGCTGTGGGTCCGGGCACCGGCTGTGGGTGTGGGCACCGGCTGTGGATCCGGGCACCGGCTGTGGGTGTGGGCACCGAGCTGTGGGGCTGCTGGCATGGACGGCCCGTGGCGGCAGACAGCGCCTCCGAGCCCCGCAGCCCGCCCGGGCCTGCGGAAACGGGTCCTGCTCCGGGTCCCGGTGCAGTGATCCCTGCCCAGGCCCTGCTCCGGGTCCCGGTGCTGTAATCCCTGCCCAGGCCCTGCTCCGGGCCCGCGCCCGCGATCCCGGTCCTGTGACCCACGGCCGAGCCCTGATCCCAGTCCGGGTCCGGATCCCGATCCCGGTCCTGTGGCCCATGTCCAAGCCCCTGGGCGCGGTCCGGATCCAGGTCCCGATCGCGATCCCTGCCCCGATCGCGGTCCCTGCCCCGATCCCTGCCCCGGTCCCTGTCCCTTCTCCGGTCCCGATCCCAGTCCCTGTCCCGGTCCCGATCCCAGTCCCTGTCCCGGTCCTTATCTCGGTCCCTGTCCCGGTCCTTATCCCGTCCCTATCCCGGTCCCGTACCATGGTCGGCGCCGCCACTTCCGCCCCGCCGCGCGCGTCATCCCCGCGGACCAATCAGAGCGCGTCCCGCGGCCCCTCCCGCCCGCTGCGCCCCCCGCGCGTGCGCGCTGGCGCGAGCCGGGCGCGAGACGTGGCTGGGGGGGCGGTGCCGCCAACGGCCTCGAGGGGAGCGGGGGGGGAGCGGGCGGACACGGGAACGGCACCGGCTGAGGGGAGCGGGGGGGGGGAGCGGGGGGACACGGGAACGGCACCGGCTGAGGGCAGCGGGGGATCCTGAGGGGATCCCGGGGAGCGGCACCGGCTGAGGGCAGCGGGGGGAGCCCGGGGAACCTGATCCTCCTCCCTTCGTCGCCGCCCAAAAGGAATCAGCCTTTCCGTGATGTTTTCCCACCAGGCTTTCTTGGGACACGTTTTCCCCGCGTGTTACGGCGCGGTTCCTTGGCCGCAGCGGGGTGGGCTCCCTCATTCCTTGGGAGAAGCTGCCATCCTGTGGCGGGCTGTGACATCCCTCCATCTCTCCATCCCTCCATCTCTCCATCCCTCCATCCCTCCATCCCTCCATCCCAGCCCTCCATCCCTGCATCGAGCCCGGCGCAGCCACCTCGCAGCCGCAGCCCTGTGCCACAGCACAGCTTCCATCTGCCGTTCTCCCTGCGGCTGTTCTCCACTGGCTGCATCCAAGGGTTTGCGAGTGGAAGGTGGCGTTGAATTAAACAAACCAACGCTAATCACAACCCCACTGTGGGGAGAATTTCAAAGACTTTCATTTCAAACCAGAAGAGCTGCTGAAAGCCCCTTGACATGGCCGTCGGCAGAACTGGCCTCTCTTAAACCTCTGATACAACAGGTTTTTGGTACGCCAGCCTGGACACTCAAAGCTAGATAAATAGCGTTTCTCAAATACTAGCAAGTCATTGAGTTTTTGTGATCCTATTAAGTTCTCAACATTACTGGAAACCACAAATTAACGGAGTGGTTTGTGTTGGAAAAAACCTTAAAGACCATCCAGTTCCATTCCCCTGACGTGGACGGGAAACTTTCCACAATCAAGTACACGTAGATATTGATCCACAAATAGCTGAATATACCAACAGCATTTCTTAGGAAAACTTACCCTGGGGAAGTGTTTTACACTTAAAACCCCAGGGAGTATACTTAAACAAACTAAATATACTAAAATATATAAAAAGGAGTATATCTGTATTTTATGATAAAAGCCACATGGCAGAGTCAGCTGGACAGCAGAATGCCAGGCCGTGGCTGTCGGCTGGACTTGGGGATCACCTCAGATAAATGCATTATGCCCAAGTTCTGGAGCAAGTGTTTTCCTCTCCCCAGTAAAAGAATCCACAGGCAGGCCTTTCATTTTCCTCAGCCAGGCTTTCCTTCTGGCCCTTCCTTTATCCTCCGTGGGCCCTGCCTGCTGTGCGTGATGCTGAGCCGCAGCTGCCTCACACAGCTCTGCTGGACGGAGCCTGAGCCCGCTGTCCCTGCGGGAGCTGTAGGGGCAGGAGGGCTTTGTTCTCCTGGGCGCCTCATTCCTCAGCTCTGCAGCCGTGCCAGCTGTTGGCTGGATCAGCTCTGAGGAAGCTCTCCAGACATCGATGAGCCGAGCCCCATCTTTGGGACCAGGAGTGTCTTTCCCACGGCCACCGGGAGTTTTCCTTTCCCCCGGCGAGCCACAAGGCTTGGGACGTACAACACAGGGAGCAGGGATGGATGATCTCAGAGTGGGGCTGTGCAAAGAGTTCTTCAGCCTGAGCCGCAGCGTTTTGGTTTGGAAGGGCGCTGAGGATTTTGTCACGGTCAGAGAGCGGCTGTGCAGCCTGGCGCGCTGGAGCTGGGCCACCTGCTGCTCCCTGCGCTGCAGGGCCGCTTCGGACGCGGGCACCTCCCCAGGGCGCCGCCGCCGGGCTGCCCCGGCTTTCGCAGAGAGCAAACTGGGGCTGCGGCTGCCTGGCGCCGGCTTGCAGGAGCTCTGCAGGGTGCCGATTGTTAAGAGGAACTTGTCAGGAGTCATTGCACGGCTTGGGTGTCTCTGGGGCAGCTCACGCGCCCAAGCGGCCTCTGCCTCCTCAGGTGCAGGGGAAGCAGGGCCCTGCTCGGCTTCATCACCTGTAGGCAAAAACAGAGCAGCACATTTGGCGCTGAGAGGCTTTCCCACACACTGCAGAGCATAGTCAGAGAGTCACTGAGTAAGCTGAGCTGGGAGGAAGGCACAAGGATCACCCAGCCCAGCCCCTGGCCCTGCCCAGACCCCAACAACCCCACCTGGGCACCCCTGGCATCCTCGGGGCGGTGCTCATTCCCTGGGGAGCCTGGGCAGTGCCAGCACCCTCTGGGGAAGAACCCTTCCCTGAAATCCAGCCTGAGCCTCCCTGACACAGCTCCAGCTCTTCCCTGGCTTCTGTTTTTTACCAAGCAGAGCATCAGTTAGCATCTGCTGGCCTGGAAAGCAGGAACATTTTCCCAGCCCATCAGTTTATCAGCAATACTCAGTTTGTGGAGCTAGAGGATTTGTCATCACACTGTATTGAATAGCTCTGACTAAAACCAAAATAATATCACTGTGTTACAACTGAAAAGGTGCCTGTTTCTGTGCAGTTGCCTTTCCCAGTGATGGCAGATCCTGAATGTAGGTGTTCTCTCACTTTCTCGGGTGTTTGTAATGAATAATTCAAGCCCTGAATCAGCAGCGTGTTTCCAAGCCCACCAGCTGGGTGAATATGAATACTATTACTGATTTCTGTCTTACTCAGTTGGAAAATGACGGTGCCTGTCTTGAAAAATGTGTTGAAGTTACACCAAACCCTTGTAAAAAGGCAGAGAGGTTTCACAGAAGCCTAGAAAATGACAGAACCATTGAAATGGAACAGCACATCTGCTCTTGACAGCAGCAGAGTCTGAATATTGGCTGGGCTGCAGGCAGTGGCTGCGTGGTTTGTAAGTCGGTTTAGAAAACCAGAAAAGAAGAGGCTCAGTGTGATACTTTTGGGTCTTCCACGGCTCTTTGGTCCCTGGCGAGATCTCAGGGACTTGTCCCGAGCTCGCTGCTGCTCTGCGCTGGCGCCCTGGCGCTTCCCCCTCCGGGACCTCCTGTCCTTCTTCAGCTCCTCTCTGTCAGCGGGCAGGGAATAGTCCCACAGCACATCCTGGAACTGCAGCAGCTGCAGTCTGCTGGGGGAGTTGGTCACCACCCTGGAGGAGGGAGGGAAGAGCCATGGAAGCACAGGAACCATGGGCACGGCCTGTGAAACACAGACCCGAGATCATTGTCTCTCCTTGAAGGAGCAGCAGCAACTGACCCCATCAGTCAGACACTGCACATTTTAACTTGTGCTCTGTGTGAGTCTCTGCTGCTCTTTCCATTCAGCTCCACGGAAAAATTATTTAAAAATAATTAGGATGAAAATTTCCAGCAGTGGACAGAGCTAGATCAGAGTAGTGGTAAGGGATGGGAGTACCTAACTACAAATACCATATTGTCAGGGACAACTAAGTGTGGGTTGAAGGGCTGTGCTGGTCTGGTTGGGATGGCATTAATTTCTTCATAGCTGCCAATTTATTGCTGTGTTTTAGAGTGTGGCCAACCCAGCCCTCAAACCACAGCAGTGTTTTACCCATTGCTCCCACAGAAGCTGGGAGCCACCTTTAGTTAGAGGTGCAAAAGTGAATGGACCTGGAAGGATTTCTCATTATTGGCCTTTACAAAGAGGCTGTAGGACAGGGAACAGGCAGAGACCGTCAGGTATTGGCTTGGTTCTCCAACCTCCTAAGAATTTCTGAATTCAGCTTTACAGTTGGGTCTGTATCTTCAGCTGTAGAGAAACAGGAAATTGTACATTGCTGAAGAGACTAAAGAAATCTTTACAGCCATTGTGAACTAAACCAGATTATTGAAGCAGTTTATAAATAGTGGAGCCCTTTAAAAGTTATTTGCAAGAACGAAAAACACCCAGTTCCTTAAATTTCAGTGTAATCTCCTGAATTTGGGTCAGAGCCTGCTGGCAGCTGCTGTCACCCACCTGTTTCCTGCCACATAGAGAGCAGACACGGGGTCCCCGCTGCTGGTGGGCTCCAAGACCCTGAGGCAGGTGCCAGTCAGGAAGTTGAATATCCGCATGCATCCGTCAGCACAGCCGCTGATGACTCTGAGGTACAGGAACTCCAGGGACAGGACTTCCCTGAAAACACAGCGGTGGGCTTGGCACTTCCATGGTGCCTGCACAAGGAAGTGGTCAGCGAGCTCTCCCGGCCTGCAGGAGGAGCAGAGCTCTGGCGGCAGCAGCAGCCTGCCCTGAGGAGCTGCCCAGACACGGAAAGCTCTGACGGATCTCTCAGATCACATCCAAACCCACAGCCCAGTGCATCCTCCCGCTGGAACGCATCCCTGCCCGTGGCAGGGGGGTGGAATGAGGTGATCTTTAAGGTCCCTTCCAACCCAAACCATTCTGGGATTCTGTGATTCCATGCTCCCCATAGCAACCATATGGTCGTGGCCATCTGCTGCATTTGAAATTTCAGTTCTATGTCCAGGAAAATGAATGAAAACCGCACGATTCTCCAGCTCTCACAGTTCTAGATACAGTTTAAGTCTCAGAGGATGGCATAACACACAGCTGGTCAGCATGAAGCTGGGCCGCCTCTATTCCTGCCCAGGTGATGTGACACCCTGTGGCACGCAGCAGGGCATCCTTGGAATATTGGGCTGTGCCCTGTCTGTCTTTATCCCTGGTTGTGATAAAGTGTTGTGAGTTTGCATTTCGGGTTGTTCCAGGTCTTAACTGAAAATGCTGCTTGTGACCATGTGGTGCCTGACAGAGCCTTTGAGATAAAGATTAGTGAAAGTGGGGATATTTCAAATCCTCACACTGGTAATTAAGGGATTTTCTGGTCCTGTAAGGGGCACCTTTTCTTTACAGATTCAGTCCATAGTTGAATACAATTTGAAACACATCTGATGCCTACTTGGGATGGAAGAAAGCTATCAGGCATCTCCTAAATTTTCCCAACATGCTCCATCCCAGGGCATATCCATCACTGCTCCCTGTGACGAGGTGCCACTGGTCAAAGGACAAGCAGAGAACTGGGCCTTGGTGCCTCTCTAATGTCTGCAAAGTAAAAGAAGAAGGTGCAAGACAATCAGTAATCTGGATGTAAATCTGTCTGAGGTGTCCATGGCTTTCAGGACACCGGCCTGATATGGTTTTACAGAGTGTTATTGTACCAGTGCACCCCATGGTCACTGTGTTTGTTTTATAGTCACTGAAACGTTCTGGGCTTGGTGCTGCTGCTGAGTGCTGCTGGTGCCTGGCATGGAATGACATCCCTTTTCCATCTCTATTACCTGTGATAAAGAGCTGTTAACCCGCTGAAACCTTCGTGGTCTCTGGAATTTTGTGCCAGGAGGGAAGAGGTAGCTGCCCTGGCTGTGGGGGAAGGGGCTCAGCTGGAGCTGGGATATCTGGGCTCTCTCTCCATTTCTCTGCAGATGAAGAACTTCCCTCCTCCCCCAGGTAGGGACTGACACCGATCATGGACACCCGACCAGGGAATTCACAGGCTCGGAGCTCCCACAGCTGCTTCGGCTCCAGAAGCTGCTGCTGAGAGCAAGGTTCCTGTTTTGGGCTGACCCTGGAGCCTCCAGCCCCAGGCTGGTGAAGCTCTCCCATCACCTCCCCAGGTTCAGAAGGTTTCTGTGGGAGCAGAGATGACTCTGCAGAGAGTGAGCAGTGATGGGGGTAAGGCAAATCACAAATCACTGCCTTAAAATCAGCAGCTGGTTGCAAGGCAGTTCTTTAATTATCTGCAGTTACCTTGATTGGTTTAGACTGCTTTGGGGTTGGTTTGGGGGATTTGTTTTCTTTTTTGGAAAGCCTTTGGCAAATGCAAAAATAACCTGTGATGAACTAGCAGAGAATTTTGACTGTCTAGCACAGAATTATCCACCCAAGAGGAAACTCACCTTGATCAGAGCCCCCGTCTCAGCACTCCAGACCTTCACCAGCCCTTGGTGACCCGCACTCACCACGTGGGTCCCGTCCATCCTCACTGCCTGCACCGGGCTGCTGTGCAGCAGAGTCCTGAGGCATTTCCCACTCCTCAGGCTCCACACTGGGGCAACAAGGAGGAGAATTCAGAATGCATCTGCCCCAGTGGTGAGTTTTGGGAGTACAACATCCATTAGAAAATGTTACTGGATTACAGTCACACCTTGTACCTGCAGCTCTGTGAGGAGCTGAGTGTTGGCTTAAAAAACATGGCAAACAATTTAAATGTGAAGTCACCTCTATTCTAAAAGGAAACTTCTGGCAAAGCTGGAAGCTGATTGCCCAAGAGTTGGGATGGCATTACAGCCACAAAGGCATTAATTCTAAATAAAAACAGAGATAATGGGAATCTAGTCCCTGACACAGCCAGAGGCTGTGTGTGCACGTGTCCCCAGCTGTGCCTCACAGCCTTCCCTCTCCGCCAGCCCCCTGCCCGTTGTGCAGCGGTTCCCTCTGGCCGGAGCTCCTCTCTCCCACCTTTCACCGTGCCATCCCCAGCTCCCGACACAAAGTGCTCCTGGTGGGAATGCAGGCAGCCGACGGTGGCATAGTGCCCCGTGAAGGTTCTCACACAGGCACCACTGTGAATATCCCAGCACCTGCAGGGAGGAGAACGTTAGGAACCTTCCGTGTGGTTCCATTATTATTCCCTGTTTAGTGTGCCTCGCTCTGCTCCCACACAGCAGGAGCTGTCCCACCAAGGTGTCAGAGGAATTGCAGTGGTCAGGCCAGGCGTTGCATTAAGGTTTTACCCCGTCCTTCCCTCTCCCTTTGTGCCGGGCTGGGGGTCCCAGGCACGGCTCACCTGACGCTGAGCTCCAGGCCGGTGCTGCTGAGCAGGAGCCCTTTGTCCTCGCGGAGGCACAGAGCTCTGACGGGCTCGGCGTGGCCGAGCAGCAGCCGCGGCTCCTGCTGCCCTCCCGGCACGTGGAGCAGCCTCAGGCTCCTGCTGCCAGCGGCCACCCAGGCCCCGCCGCTGTAATGGGCTCTCCTGCTCCCGTCAGACCTGCCAAAGCAGTGCCCGTGCTGAGTCTGGCCAGCTGCAGTGCCCGTGCTGAGTCTGGCCAGCTGCAGTGCCAGCACTGAGTTTAACCAGCTGCAGTGCCAGCACTGAGTTTAACCAGCTGCAGGCCTGGCTCAGCACTTCCCTGCCTTTAACTGGGCACGGTGGGCAGCACTCTGGTGCTGAATCCTTTGCAGGGCACCACCACACATCCCCCTTCGTATCAGGGTGGGCAGAGGGGCCAGGGCTCCTCCCAGCCCATATCCCTTGGGATACACCGTGGATCACCAACCCTCATTCCTTTACAAACAGCTTATCTTGGTGTCTTTATTTTAAAGATGGATATTTCTTAACACTGACACTGAGGCACTCTTCTCCAGCCATCAGGAAGAGCACAGGGAATGGAACAGCTCCTACAGCTGCTCTCGGCCCCACAGCTGAGCACTCTACTCACTGCTCCATGAGGACACAGGTCTTGTAGGGGCCACAGAAGACATTCCTCTCTTCCAGCTGGATCTTGTGAGTTTTCAGGTCCCGATAGGCTTCCTGCAGACTGAACTCCTCCATCTGATGGCAAGAAAAGTAACAGAGAGGCAGGAATGCAGAATTATTGCATAGTATTGAACCTCTCAGCTCTAGGGATGAGCCCAGAGTAAGGAAAACCAGAGTGCAGCAAGACCTTGCTTAGTCCAGGGTTGTTCCCAGGCCATGCTCTGTGGCATAAATGGAAGCCCTGAGAGCTGCAGCCTTTATTCTGAGGGAAGAAGGCCCCTGGCCCCAGGGCTGTGCCATGACTGGAGACACGCAGCGATGAGGCAGAAGTCTGGGGATGCCTCCCAAACTCCCTCCCATGTGGGAAGGTGCTGAGCAAGCCCTGGTCCCTGTGAACTGCTCACGATGGGGCAATCCAAAAGCAGGAGTGGGAAAGAACGAAGCAATTCCAAATTCACTGTGCTGTCCTCTCTCCTCCCCAGACACTGACATGCAGCATTCATGGCAGGCAAACAGCCTCCAACAAACCTTTGATTTACGCCTCTTCTTCTGCTCCTTGTCCTTCACTTCAATGACCTCACCCTCATCATTTAACTGGGGAATTTGCACATCGACTCTTTTAGCATAGTTTGGGATGGTTTTTCTAGGACACAACTCCTGGAATAAACCAACAGAGGCAGCAGTTACTGCAGAGCCCACGCTGGCAGGGCGTGCTGCTCATCCCTGCACCGCTGAGCTGCACACTCCGGCTTCTCGTTGAGACCTGGCTTACATTTGGCACTCTGTCTGCCTCAGGTTTAACTTTTGGTGAAAAATAATTGCTTTTGATTTGTTTTTCCAAACTCTAGTTTTGTGCTTTTAATAATCAGAAAAATCTTGAGCTCATCCCATCTTTGGTAGGCACTCAGTTGACTCAGAATTCAAACTCAGTGATATGCGAGGTTCTCAGAGCACCTCGGTCAACACTCAAGATCCATTTTTAGCCTGTGAAACCTTCCCTGAAGCCTCTTCTGGAGGCCAGCACAGAGCTGAGTTTCTATGCTGCCTCCACAGCCCAAAGCAGCAGAGGCTCAGCCTGTCTCTTGGGGGAGGCTCCTTCAGCCCCCGCTCTGTCTGGGGCAGGTCCTGCTGCCAGGCCAGGCCTCTCCCAGGAGTTCTGCGCTGCTGTGCTCCAGCCACCGCCCCAGCTCCTCACCTTGCCTTTCCCTTGCCCCATGTGCAGCGAGTGAAGCTCCTTCCTGAGCTGCCCTGGGAGCTGTTGTAGCTCTGCCCAACCTCCACCGCCTCTGGAAATGTTCATTGTGACCAAAGCCTACTTTCCTGAAGAATGTTTGGATCAATTTTTAGAGTCTCAGGCTCTCTAAAGAAGACTAAAACCATCCTTGTGACAGTGTGAAACGTCAGCTGGCTTTGCTCTGCAGCTGGAGGTAGAAGGGCCATGGCAGAGTTTGAGTTTGGGGCAGCCTCTGGTACAGGAATTTCCATTTAACAGCTTGGGCAGCAGCAACCCCCTTTGTTAAAGTGCATAATAATGGCAGGAGCCCGGGTGTCCCACCTGCAGCTGCAGGAGGCTCTTGTGCACTGTGCTCCGACACTCCTTGTCCTCCCGGAGCCGCTGGACCAGGAATTCCCAGCGAGCGCTGACAGCAGCACAGGCATCCAGGGATTTTTGATCCAAAAGCCCTGGCAAGTTAAAGGGACAGGCTGGCTGATCCCCGCTGGAAACTATCCCTTACCCCTAGGGGAAACCACTGGAGCATCAGAGCAGCTTTACCCAGGATGGCCATGGACAGCTGGATCGGCAGGACACGAGTGAAGTCCTTGGCTTGGCTGGCATCAGAGTGTGACCGGAGAGACACAGGAACCATGGTGGCATCTGCATCAGCTGAGGACAAAGGTGAGCGTCCCCTGCATCGGGACCCTCCTGGCAGGGCTCTCAGTGGCTCGGGCCAAAAGCCCGTTCCAGTGCTTGGCCACCTGGGAAAAAGGGAATTTCCAGTCCTCAAGGGCTCGAGTTTGGTACCTTGGACAGCAGCGCTGCCAGCGCTGCCCTGAAGAGCCGGGCGGCTTTAACTCATCGCTCTGGCACCGTGCACGTGGCAGGAGAGCGCTGGGAACGCTCCTGGTCTGCAGCACAGCTGGCAGCAGCGGGGCTGAGGGACAGGGTGACACCTCTTCCCCTCAGCCCTGCCCTGGGTGGTGGCGAGGGAGCAGAGGGCCGCGGTGCAGCAGTTTGCTCTGTGCTTTGCACCCCCCGCTCCAGCTCCAGCTCCAGCTCCAGCTCCAGCTCCAGCTCCAGCTCCAGCTCCAGCTCCAGCTCCAGCTCCAGCTCCAGCTCCAGCAGCACGGGCAGGGGCAGCGCCAGGCTCCGAGGGGCCACAGCAGAGCCACTCGTGCCGAGGGCATCGCACGGATTTGCTGAGCGCAGGGAAATCCTCCGCCTTTAGCGCTCGATTTCCAGCAGCGAGAGAACAACGGGAGCGGTGACAGTGCCCAGGGACGGGAAGGGAGCCGCTCACCTGCCCGGGGCTCCGCCACCGCCGTTACCCGCCACCGCCGCAGCCACCGTCCCTGCCACCGCCGTTACCGCCACCGCCACCGCCACCGACCCTGCCACCGCCGTTACCGTCACCGCCACCCCCAACCGCCGCCGCTGCGCTGCCGAGAGCCGCGCAGCCCCTCAGCAGCCGGCGCCGGGGGACGTCGGGGACGGGGATGTCGAGGGATGTCGGGGTGATGGGGCATGTCGGGGTGCCAGGCGATATTGGGGTGCCAGGCGATATTGGGGTACCGGGGGATGTCAGAGTGCCGGGGGATGCCAGCAGCCCCCCGGGATGGGGACCCGCAGTCAGGGCAGGGCACCGTGCCAGCCCCAAGCACAGCGGGGCTGGGCAGTGACACAGACGGGCATGGAACAGCCTGGGAAGCAGGCACGGGTGGCCTTTGGGCACCGGTGTCTGGTTTTAGACACAGATGTCACCCAGTTCACAGGCACAGTGCTGGCACAGGGCTTCAGACAGAGATTGAGCAAAGGCTTCGGTCACACACACTTTTGGCAGGTGGCTCTGCCTGCCTGAGCTTCCCCAGATTAAGAAAAGAGCTGATTTAGTAATCTAAAAGTCACAAACGCACTTAGAGTAAAGGCTGGTTTGTGCATCGTTTGGGACAAGGCACCCCAGGATTAACCGGATCTGGATCTCACCTCCCTCCAGCAGGGCTCAGCCACCTCCCCCAGGGCAGCGTCCCTGCTGTCCCCCTCTCCGTGTTTGCAGGAGCACCTCGGCAAGGCAACCCCCACCAAAACCAGCCCGAGAGCCCTGGAGAACCCCAATTTTCCCCATAGCCTGAAGTCCCAGGCTTCACTGCTGCCCAAGCCCCAGTGCTGACTCAGCAGCTCTGCAGCAGCCTCACCCCGGGCAGGGACGGGGGGCTGGGGGCACATCCCACCCTGCCAGCTCCCCCCAGGACCCCCAGAGTGACTCCAGCAGCTGCACATGGCGCTGAGCTGGCTCCCGAGGGCAATTTCTGGGGTTAAATATTGATGTGAAGGAATCAGAGAAGCCCAGCCCAGCAGTGTGATAACAAGTGTGTTTTGGAAGGTGAGAGAACTGGAATCGTTCAGCCTGGAGAAGAGACTCCAGGGAGACCTTAGAGCCCTCTCCAGTACCTGAAGGGGCTCCAAGAGAGCTGAGAGGGACCTGGGACAAGGAACTAAAGTGACAGGCCAAAGGGGAGTGACTTCAAACTGCTGCAGGGCAGGGTTAGATGGGCTGCTGGGGAGAAATTCCTCTCCATGAGGGTGCCCAGAGCAACTGGGGCTGCCCCTGGATCCCTGGCAGTGCCCAAGGCCAGGCTGGACAGGGCTGGGAGCAGCCTGGGACAGTGGGAGGTGTCCCTGCCATGGCAGGGGTGGCACTGGATTGATGCCTGGGTGATTTCCTGGCTCGAGCTGTTCTGGGAAAGGTGAAGGAACCCCAGGAAGACACGTGGAGCTGAAATCCTGGATCTGGGAGGTTTGCATTGGGAAGAACTGGATGCAAGAGGCACCACGAGTGTTCTCATAAACACCAGCATCCTGTTGTGGTGGTTATTTGTATTGCTCGGAATCCTGCACCAAACTGAGGGAGCCCCAGGCAGCCCAGGAGCCCCAGACAGCCCTGCCAGGAGGAGCTCGGACAGCGGGGATGGGATGGGATGGGATGGGATGGGATGGGATGGGATGGGATGGGATGGGATGGGATGGGATGGGATGGGATGGGATGGGATGGGATGGGGGAGGAGAAGCAGTGCCGCCTTCCTCGTGTTCCTGGGATGGGGAGGGAAGGGCTGGGAGCAGGCTGCTCATGGAGCTGTGGCACCAGTGCCCGACAGGTCTCAGAGGAGAAGCTCTCAGCCCGAAGTGTCCCTCCTGTGGTGGCTGTGGCTGTGCACTTGTGGCCGCAGGGCTCGCTCTGGGCCAGGGTGGAGGCACCTGGAGAGCCTTTCCTTGTCCTGCTCTCCTGGCTTAGGAGGACACCGGGCGTGGGAGAGCGAAGAACTTGCCCGGAATCGCTCTCCTCTCCATCTGGAGCCACAGGGAGAACAAATCCAGCTCGCTGTGCTCTGTGGCCAGCTGGAAGGTGAAGCTCTGCAGCAGCGTGGTGAGGAACAGGAAGAGCTCCATGCGGGCCAGCGCCTCCCCCGGGCACATCCGCTTCCCTGGGCACAGAGAGGGGCGACCCCAGTGGGCAACGGGGGCCAGAGGGTGGGCAGGCCGCCCATGGGGAGGGGGGCACTGCGCTGCCACTGGGCATCTGTGCTGGCACTCCTGGCACGCAGCTGGCAGGGCGGGAGCACTGACCTGCCGAGAATGCCATGAAGGCCTCGCGCTTCCTGAACTCGCCCTTCTCATCCAAGAAGTGTGCGGGATCCACTTTTCCAGGGTTCTCCCACTGCGTTGGGTCGGAATGCACAGAGGAAAGTACCGGAATCACGGGAGTGCCCTGTGGTGGGAGAGGGATGGGGCGGGGACGTGAGGAGGGACATCAGTGCCAGGCCGTGGGCTCTGCTGCGGTGGGTTGCCTGGGGGAGATCCAGGGGACATGGGGGAGGCTGGTGTGCACCCCAATACCCAGGCTGCTCCCGAGGGGAAGCAGCCTGGATTGGTGGCTCTGTGGGACAAGTGACGTGGGGCTCTGGTGTCCCCGTGGTCCTGCCAGTATCTCGTGGGACACAAATGCCCAAGTTACTCCCATGGATTCCCATTCAAGCCCCTCTCAGTGCCCCAAATCCAAAGCAGGAGATGTTCCCTCAGGGTGGGGTTGGCACACAGTGCTCGTGGTCAAGCCAGGAGGGGCGGCTGTCCCAAATCTGCCCAGGGTAGGGGGGGTCTGGCCTGGCCCCACCCCGGGCCGGGCCCGCAGCCCTGCAGGGCTCTGTGGGGGGGAGGGGAAGAGCTGTTTTCCAGGGCTGGGGGAAAGGGAACGGGCTCTGGGCAGGACAGGCACACACTCACGTGCCTCCGCTCCCCTGTGAAAGGTCATTGCTACCGAGGGTTGGGAAAGACCCGAGACCTTCATATGTGTGCAAACAGTTCAGGGACACACACAGGCAAAGGGCAGTGCCAGCCCTGCCTGGGACACAGAGCCCCGGGCACCCCGAGTACCTTGGGGATGGTGTAACCCCTGAACAGGACGTCCTGCGTCGCCATGCGCGGGAAGTTCTCGATGCGGGACTTGTGGGAGCGCTGCAGCTCGTGGATCACGGCGTTGGTGTAGGGCATCCGCAGCTTGTCCTCCGTGCTGGGGGCACGGCCAGGGCCCACCACGGCATCGATCTCCTCCTGCACCTTGGCTGGGACAGCAGGGGCTGGGTGCCGGCCATGCAGCCTCCCCAGAGTTTCTCACTGGCCTCCACGGGCACTGATCCTAAACCCAGAGTGGCTAGAGGGGGAGCAACCTGCCCTAATCCCTTGTAAAGCCCAGAAACAGATCTCTGCCCCCATCCTTCCCTGCATCAGGCAAGCTCAGAGCATCTCCACAGGCCAGGCCACCCGTGCGGGCAGGGATGGAGCTCAGGGAGCGCACACGGATCCCCCTGGCCCGTGGGAGTCTATCAGCTCCCACCTTGGGTGACCCCCACAGCAAGATTGGGGTCTGCCCCCAGTCGGGACCCTCCAGGGGTGCCCCACGAGCACCCCTGGTGCAGGAGCAGCTGCGTTTTGCTGCCGTACCTTGGATATGGGGGTGCTTTGCCAGCATCAGCAGGAAGAACACCAGGGTGTTGCTGGTGGTCACCGTCCCGGCACCGAGGAGGTTGAACACTGACATGATCAGGTCTTCGTGGCTGTACATGGGCTCTGGGCTGCCCTGCTCCTGCAGGAGGGTGTGCTGGGTGGATTCCGTGTGTCTGGGTGATGCTCCAGCTGCAGCCAGGCCAGAGGGCAGCCCCCCCTCTACCTTCTCTGCTCTTATCAGGAAACAGTCGATGTAGTCCCGGGGGCAGCTGGAGTCCAGAGTCAGCTGGTGGAACTGCACCTTCTCCTGGATGTGCTCCTTCAGCTTCTGGCAGTCGGCCAGGACCCTCTTGTGCGGCCCCGGGAGCCGGTCCATGATGCCGGGGAAGGTGTTGTACACCTGCGGGCACGGGGACACAGCAGGGCTCAGTCCCTGTCCCTCCCTCAGAGCCACGCTGTCCCCCAGGGGCAGGGAGCACCCTGAGCCCCCGCGGGGCTGTGGGCAGGCGGGGGTGCTGAGCCAGGCTCCCACCTTGGCCAGGGGGGACAGGAAGAAGCTGACGTAGTTGCTGACGGCGTCGAGCAGCTCCAGGAACGCCGCGTCGCTGTAGCTGTAGCGGCTCCCGAAGACCACGGAGCAGATCACGTTGGCCACTGCGTGTCTGAACGTGGTCATCGGCTCAAAGGCACCGCCTGCAGCCACGGGAGGTGAGAAAAGCACCAAAAGGTCACCGGCTGTTTACCTGCTTCAAGACAGAAAACACGCCTTCCCCCGCACTCCGAGCCCCTGATTTTGGACCCTGGCTGATCTGCGGGGCCTGGCAGCCACAGCAAAGAGCCCCCCGAGCTGAGGGCTCCTCATCCACCTCCATGCCCTAAACCCTCCCTCAGCTTGGACTGACGGAAGCACAGCATCTGCAGGAAGCCCCAGAAGATGTGTTGGCAGGGGCTGGGCACTGCTGGGGAGGAGGAAATCACCCTGACAAGCCCGAGTCACCGGGTCAGTGCCTAGCTGGGCACTGCCAGGCACACACAGTTCTGTTCCCTAGTCCTGTTCTTCCTATTCCCTAGTCCTGTTCTTCCTATTCCCTATTCCTGTTCTTCCTGCAGGGAATGCTCCTCGGTTGTGGCCATCCCTGCACCAGTTCAGAGCAGGATCTCCTTCCTGGCCCCTCAGCTGTGCCTGTAGCACATCCCTGCAGCTCCCGGGTGGGGTGGGCTGGATCTGAGCCCTTCCCTGCAGGGATCACCCACACCCAGCCCTGCAAACAGCTCTGGGGCCACACGTGTCCATGTGTCGGGACACACATGGGGCTCCTGTGTGTCCTCTGCCTGCCACAAGGCCAGCAAAGACAGGAGCCACGTCACCTTCAAGCTTTGCTAGCAGCTCCACCAGGTGCTGAGCCTCCTGCTGCACCTTCTGGGACATGGAGTTCTTCCCCATCCCAAAGTCCCGCAGGGTGCTGAGGGTGAACCTCCGCAGCTCCCGCCACTTCTTCTCGTTGTTGGAGACAAATCCTGGAGGGACAGAGAGGAGATCAGCCCCTGCCCACCCTGCCCACCCTGCTGAACCCTGCTCTGAGCCAGGCTGAGGAGCAACAGAGCAACGAGCCAGGGAACGATGCAGGTGAGCACAGCGTCCACGAGAGGGTGAGGAGCTCTGCAGCGACTCAGAGCAAAGCTGGAACTGCCTAACTGGAGTTAATGCTGTCCTTGCCCTTGCCATAGGACTTGAAGGGTCTTGCAGAGCAGGAAACTGGTGTTTGAGGTCTTGGGTGCTGAGCCCTTCCCTAGACTAGGAGCATGGCCGTCTGCTGGCCCAGATGGATCCAGGGGAGATCCAGGCACTCACCGTAGTCTTTGGAGAGCTGCATCAGGAGGGGGATCTGGGGTCTGCCCCCAAACTCCTCAGAGTGTCCCACCAGGGCGTCCTTCACGGCCTTGTACCCGCAGAGCACCACCACTGGCTTCAGCCCCAGCCACACGGTGAAGATGGGGCCGTAGGTGCTGCTGAGCTGGGGGATGGGGAGCTCCGTGAGCCAGGGTCCCACACCAGTTCACTCGCTGCATTTCAAACTGGGGCTCGAGCCCACAGCCCTGGTGAATGCCCAGCAGGGAGGGGAAGTGCCTCCCTCAAAGCTGTGACCTCACCCCATCCCAGCCCTGGCCCTGTCCCTGTGGGTTTTATCCCAGCGCCACTCTGGGGGTTCAAAGCAGCATCTCCAGGAGCAGCTGTGGACAGTGGCAGCACCGCAGCCTGGAGGGGCATTGTCACCTCGTGGGTGCCCTACAGGAGAGAGGCCTCAGTAACAGGGTTGATTCTGCTCCCAGCAGAAGGGATTTAGGCAATTCTGGTAGAGCAAGAGATGAGGGAGGGAAGAAGAGGAAAGAAAGGTAGGAAGAGTCACCCGTAGGATTCCCCTTTTATTTTGGCACGGGACTTCCCCACTGGCTGTCCTGCTGTCCTGTGAATGGGTCCAGCACGGCCACTTGTCCCCTGTCCCTTGTCCCTTACCTTCTCGTAGTGCCTGTAGAGGGGCAGGACATCCTTCTGCCACAGGTTGCCCAGGATGGGCCACGGGGCTGGGCCAGGGGGCAGCCGGCTCCTCTTCTTGTCACTCCTCCAGGCCAGGAACCACAGGATGGGGAGAAGGAGGAGGAGAGCGACGAGCAGCCCAGCCGAGCCAGCGTCCATCCTCCCTCACCGAGCTGCGAGCGGGAAAGGAATTCCAGGGAGGGAAGTGGGCAGAGAGCAGAGCCCAGGGCTGCTGGTGTGCCCTGCCCTGCTCGGGGCCGGCACAGCCCTTCCCGGCACCGGGGCTCCGGGCTGCTCGGGGACCCAGAGGTGCTGCTCAGGGACCCAGAGACGCTGCTTGGGGACCCAGGGGTGCTGCTCGGGGCCCCAGGGGTGCTGCTCGGGGCCCCAGGGGTGCTGCTCAGCTACCCAGAGGTGCTGCTCAGGGACCCAGGGGTGCTGCTCCGTCCCGGCCGGGCCACGCCTGTCCCCGCTGGGCTGTGCAGGGGTCTCAGAGCCGTCCTGGGCACTGGGAGCTCTGAGACCCCGCGGGAGCGCTGCGGAGGGGTGGCTGTCCCCTGCCCGCGCCCCTGGTCACCTCTGCTCGCTGCTCCCTCGTGGTGGCACACGGCAGAAGAAGATGGCACTGTCACTGTCCTGGCCAAGCCTTTCATACCCCCCCGGTCACTGCCCCGCTGGTCAGTGCCTCCTCAGCAGGGCACTGACCCAGGAGAGTGTGTCCTGCTCAGCAGAGGCAGCTTGTGAGTGGGGCACCGTGCTGGCCACACACCTGCGGGGTGGCAATGTTCCACCAAGCTCCTTTCTGATGGAAAATGGGTCAGAAAATAGAAAAAACACCTTTTTTTCTGATATATTTCGGGGTTCCTCTTGGGCTTTGGAGGAACATCAGCCTGAGGTGTTGTGGTTGTTGGAGGTGTGGGTTAACCCTTCCCTGGGCTCCTGCAAGCTTGCTCTGAGCACCTGCACATCTGGCTGCACACAAGGACATCTGGCACAGGCAGTCACCCCACCTCTGGGTGGGGGTGAGCAGGCACATTCACCCCGCAGGCACAGTCACCCTGCAGGCACAGTCACCCCATGGACACAGTCACCCCATGGGGTCAGTCACCCCATGGGGCACAGTCACCCCATGGACACAGTCACCCCATGGACACAGTCACCCCATGGGGCACAGTCACCCCATGGACACAGTCACCCCATGGACACAGTCACCCCATGGGGCACAGTCACCCCATGGACACAGTCACCCTATGGGGCACAGTCACCCCATGGACACGGGCACAGTCACCCCATGGACATGGGCACAGTCACTCCACGGGTTCAGTCACCCCATGGACACAGTCACCCCACGGGCATGGTCACCCCACGGACACAGTCACCCCACAGGCACAGTCACCCCACGGACACAGTCACCCCCCTCTGGGCTGAGCCAGCTGGGCACAGGCCAGCTCCCAGGAAAGGGTGGGATTCCTCCTGCAGGAGAAGAGGGAGGAGGTTGGGGTCCACACTGGCCCCTGCAGAAGAAGGAGCCCTCAGCAGAGGGAATTCAGTGGTGCTGGCAGAGCGGAGCCTGCCAGCAGAGCATCTCTCAGAGCAGCCACAGGATGAGGCTCCCCCAGGCTTTGGGGAGCTCCCAGCCTCTCTGCCCTCCTCCTCACACCCTTCCCATCCAAGCCGTTTTCCAGCTAATTCCCAGATCCCACCTTAGACATGGGTCCCTGGGAGCCCTGTGGGACACCAGGGGTGGGACCTGCTGTGGCTGTGAGGCAGCCAGGGGGTTCTGTGTCAGGTCTTCCCAGGCAGGAAGACGTAATTGAAGAGGAAGATGAAGCAATCCTCACTTTCCCTCGGTAAATATCGAACACCTGCTCCCGGTTTTAGCTGCAATGGAGCAGCAGCAGCAGGTGATCTGTACAGGGGTGGCACAGCGCAGCAAGCACAATCCCAGCACTGGGAAGGGTAGTGGCTAAGCAGGGACAGCCAGCCTTCATTTGGATCCTTCCGTGGCTGGAAACGCGGGAGCCAGGCGCTCTGCCCGCTGACGGGTCTGCACGGGAGGCGGAGGAGCTGCTCTGTCTGCGGTGCCCGCGGGCTCCGTGCCGCTCCAGAGCCCCACGTCAAAGGCAGGATGCCCGAGGGCACCGACCCCGGGCTGCCACTAATCCCGGCGGGATCCCGGGATGTGCCAACTCTCGGGAATGCGCCGCTGGAGCGGCTTCTGCCCGCGGGCACAGCCCCTCTGACCCCGTGCGGGAACCCAGCCCAGCCGCGCAGCGATCGCCAGCGCCGCGGGGGAGGACAAATTCTGGAGATAGAATTAAACTTTCCAATTGCATTTTAATTTCCGATCCCCCCCTTCCCCTGCTGCCCATCCGAGGGGTGACAGGTGTGAGGAGTGAAGGGTGGCTCTGGGAGGGTTGCAGCTGTACCAGGCACTGCCCACAGAGCCTGCAGTAATTAATTGCTTAATTAGCCGGCATTCATTCATTTATCCCTCCTGTAATGCCCTGGAGAGCGAGGTTGGCTGCAGCAGGGGGCTTGTGTGGGTCTGGAGTATGAGTGCAACTCCAGGAAAGGAGCCTGCAGCGCTCCCTGAGCCCTCACTCCTCGCAGGACCCAGCCCTGCTCCCACTTCTCCATAAGTACGGCTCTATTCCTGAACCGTGTTTGGAGAGGGCAAACCTTGCCCTGTGCTCTGGAAAATGAGCCGCTCCCTTTTCCCCGGCGGTGAGCCGGGTCCCAGCAGGATGTCAGGGAGCTGCTGGGAAAATCACCCGAAGGATGTGGAATACTGGGGATTCCTTAGAACAGCTGCACTGCCCTGGAACCTTCCCGTCCTGCTGTTCACCTTCCTGCAGTAATTACAGAGAGGAGAAAAAATCCCCCCTTCTCCTCTGCTGCCTGGCAAACACCCCAGGCCCTTACCCGGCACGCGGGGCTCCTTTGCTCCCCGTTTGTGTATTTATCACATCCATAAACCTGATTAAAATGAGAGGGGAAATCAGCACTCCAGGCAGCGGAGGGTGATGCTCACACCCTCCTCGGCAGCTCCGGGGGAGCGGCACCCACCGCGGGAGCCGGGCCGGCGACCGGGCACCGGCACCGTGTCCCTGCCGGTGGCACCGGGAGCTCCCGCCGGGGCTCCCCGGCGGGAAGTGCCGACGCCTTCCTCCGCATTTCTGTGCCCGGTGCCGGCTCCGGGGGCCGGGCCGGGACCCCCGGAGGGCAGGGTGGGGCTCGGGGTGCCCTGTGCTCCCGACAAACGACCCTGGGGACAAGCGGCTGCGGCCGCCTCTGCCCCTCCTGCTCACGGCCAGGGCCGCCCTCCCGGGCGATGAACCCGGGCTCGGCGCGGCGGGCGGGGGTCCCTGCGGGCCGCGGCCCCGAGCACGGCGCCGGCCCCGGCCCGGCCGAGCGGGGCAGCTCCGGGGCCGCATGTCAGCGCTGGCACGGCCGCGCCGCAGATGGCAGGTGGAGCAGGGCTGCTCCTCCGGCCGGGCACAGCCCCGTGCCAGGCGCAGCGGCCAGGCACAGCCGGGAGGGCGGACACAGGGGCGCTGCCGGCCCGGGCAGCGAGCCCGCTGCCGGGGCGTTCGCTCCTGCCCGGCGCGGGGTTACCGCCCTGCGCGGGGGCCGAACACGGAGCGCTGCACAGCCTGCACGGCCCGCTGCCTCCTGGGCTCGGCACGCGATCCTGCAGGGGCTGAAGGCTCCCGCTCCTGCACGGCTCAGCCAGGACAGAGCCGGGCTTTGGTGGCCATCGCTTGTCCCCAGCAGCGCAGGGATAAGGGGTGGGAGCTGCTCCCCTCCTCCCTTTCTCCGTTTTCCTGCTGCGGGGATTGCACGGACACCGCTTCCATGCCACCCTTCGTTATCTGTGCCTCCCGGAGCAGCAAACAGGGAAATGTGATTAAAGCGCTCGCACAGGGCGCTTATCAGCCTGCGGGAAGGCCGTGAGCTGCCCTGGCGCTGCCGGGCTGCGGCTCCTGCCGCCCCCACCCGCGGTGCCCCCGCAGCCCGAGGAGGGGCCGGGAGGGACGCGGCAGCGGCGGTGGCGTGGCTGGGGAGCAGGAGGGGCAGGAGGGAGGGAGGGATGAGGGGCAGGAGGGAGGGAGGGATGCGGGCAGGAGGGAGGGAGGGATGCGGGGCAGGAGGGAGGGAAGGATGCGGGGCAGGAGGGAGGGATGCGGAACAGGAGGAAGGGAGGGATGAGGGCAGGAGGGAGGGATGAGGGGCAGGAGGGGCCGGCGCTGCCCCCGCGCTGCTCTGTCAGATGGTTTGCGGTGAACTGGGCTGCTCTGACGCTAATTGGCTTTGACCCATCTGGGCCGACGCTATCAGATCTTGGAGGTTCAGCGGCCCCGCGCTGCTGGGGTGGACGGGAGGGGACAGTCCTGTCCCCGTGTGGAGGGAGGGCTAGAGCTTGGACTGACCTTATTGGCAGCTGGCAAAGGCGGAGAGACGCGCCCTGAGAGGGGTTTTGGAGCTGCCTCTGGGCCAGGGGGAGCTGGGCAGCGTTACTGTGTCCTACAGGGATTGATTGGCTCGGTGTTGTCCGTGAGTGTCACTATTCCTGTGCCCGCGGAAGGAACATCTTGCTGGCAGCATGGTGGGAACCACGGCTCTGATCCGTGCTGCTCCCTGTCCCTCTTCAGAGAAGCCAGAATTCCCTGCCTCCATCCCCGGACACCACATAAAATATCTGCCTTTTCCATCCCGCAGTAATGGTGCAATTTAGAATGGGAAAACGGGGAGAGGAAGTGCTGAACCTGCAGCAGCTGATGCCAGGGGAGATGCCAGGACCGCCTGGCTCTGAAACATCCCCAGATCCTGAGGGAGGCGCGTGGTGCAGCAGCAGCACCCCAGGGAGGAGAGCACCCCGGGCACCGTCCCAGGGAAAGATCCCACAGCGGGCATCAGCAGAGGCTTTGGTTCCTGCAGCGGGAGCCGGGTCCCTCACCCATCCCCGCGCTGAGGGAGCCCCGGCTCCCCCGGCTCCTGCAGCCCGGCTCAGCCGCCTCTGCCCCGGCTGCTCAAACCTGCCCCGGCCCGGGGGTCCCGCGTGTCCGCGTGTCCCGGGTGTCCCGGGTGTCCCGCGTGTCCCGCGTGTCCCGCGTGTCCCGCGTGTCCCGAGTCCCAGGGGCTGGGACAGACGCGGTGGGGTGCCGGGCTGGGAGCCGGGGCTGGAAGGGCAGCGGGAGCGGAGCTGGGGCCGGGGCAGTCGGGGAGCTGCTGCCGGAGGATGCCAGGAGATCGCGAGGGATGCGGGGCCGTGCCAGGAGATCGCGAGGGATGCGGGGCCGTGCCAGGAGATCGCGGGGGATGCGGGGCCGTGCCAGGAGACCGCGGGGGATGCGGGGCCGTGCCAGGGGATGCCGAGGTGATGTCGGGCGGATGCCAGGGATGCTGGAGCGGCGCTGGGGCCGTGCCACGGGATCCGAGGGGATGCCAGGTGACGCTGGGCGTGCCGGGGGATGCCGGGGGACGCCAGGTGAGGCCGAGGCCGTGCCGAGGGATGCTGAGGGATGCCGGGGGGATGCCGGGGCCATGCCCAGGGATGCCGGGGGGATGTCAGGGGATGCCAGAGAGGGTGCCCGGCTCCAGGCTCGCTCCAAGACCCACCCCCGGCCCGGAGAGCCCGCCGGGGCGGGCGGCCACGGACTACATTTCCCATGGCCGCCGCGGCCGGGGGCGGTGCGGGGCGGCGCGGGGGGCGCGGAGCGCAGGCGGAGGCGCGGAGAGGCGCAGGGGCGGCGGGGCCCGCTCGGCCCGGCTCGGCTCGGCTCGGCCCGGCCCGGCTCGGCGCCGGGCGGGGATGCGGGAGGGACGGCCCGCGGCCCCCGGCCCCGCTGCCCGCCCGCACCGCCCGCACCGCTGCCACCATGAAGAAGCAATTCAACCGCATGCGCCAGCTCGCCAACCAGACCGTGGGCAGGTAGGGATGGGATGGGATGGGATGGGATGGGATGGGATGGGATGGGATGGGATGGGATGGGATGGGATGGGGATGGGGATGGGGATGGGGTCAGACTCAGCCCTGCCCGCAGCCCCCATCCCGCACCCTGCCTGCTCCCGCCCCCCGCCGCACCCGCACCTGCTCGTTTCCCGCTCCCTGCACGCTCCCTGCCGGCCCCACCGCCCCGATCCCCTGTGTCCTGCCTGCCCCACTGCCCTGACTCTGCCCCTACCCGTGTCCTGCCGCTGTCTGCACTCTGGCAGCCTCACTGCCCTCATCCCACACTCCCTGTCTGCCCCTCCACCCCTCCTCCATTCCTGCCCCAGTGCCCTGATGCTGCTCCTGTGCCACTGCCACACTGCCTGCCCCACTGCTCCTGCTCCGGGCCTGCTTCCTTGCCCGAGCCCCGCTTGCCCCACTGGCCCTAATCCCACTCCCTGCCTGCCCCACATCCTTGCTGCTCCCTGTGTGCCCTTTGCCCTGCTCCCTGTCTGAGCCCTGACACCCTCTGTCCTCCCCGTGCCTCACTCCCTACCCCTTTCCCTGTTCCCTGCCCCTCTGTGTGCCCCACTCCCTGTTCTCTGCCTGCCCCATTGCCCCCGTGCCCACCCCTCATGTCCTTCTTGCCCATTCCCTGCCGGTTAACCCCTGCCTGTCCGCCCACCTCTGCCCTGCCCCACTCCCTGCCCCTTTTACCCGCTGCTCCCTGCCTGTGCCCTGTCCTGCCGTCCCCTGGGTGCCAGGGCTGCGGGACCCTGCCCAGCCCCGATGCCGTGGGGTGCCCCACTGCTTCCCCCCAGCAGCCCAGGGCGGCCCTGCTGGCCGTGGGGCCGGGGGCACTCTGGGACTCTGGAGCCGGGGCCGTGCCTGTGGGAATGCCCACGGGAATGCCGTGTGCGTGGCCAGGCCTGCGCTTGATGGTGCTTGTTGTGTAATTCCTGGAGATTTTGCAGCGGGAGGGGGGGTGGGGGGAAGGGGATTTATTTCTTTTCCCTCCCCATCGCGGCTCTGGGGCACCGGCACAGCTGGAGCGGCAGCCCCGCATCCCCTCGGCATCGCCAGGGCTCCGGCTGGCACCGCCCGCGTCCCCGTGTGCCCCCGGCACCGGGAGCGCTGCCCCACGGCCCGGAGCGGGCACGGGCCGGGATGGAGCGGCCCCGACGGGGCTGCGGGAGCGCCGGGCAGGTGCGGGAGTGCGGGCAGGGAGTGCGGGGCAGGGAGTGCGGGGCAGGGAGTGCGGGGCAGGGAGTGCAGGGCAGGTACGGGATTGCAGGGCAGGGAGTGCGGGGCAGGGAGTGCGGGGCAGGGAGTGCAGGGCAGGTACGGGATTGCAGGGCAGGGAGTGTGGGGCAGGGAGTGCCGGCCAGGAAGTCCAGGCAGGGATCACGGCTCGGGAGCTCCAGGGTCCGGTGCGGGAATCTGGCACGGGAGTGGAGTGGGAATGTGCAGTGTGAGATGGGGTGTGTGTGGTGCCAGCGTGCTGTGGGATCGTGGCACAGGGAAGGTGGCACTGGGGATGTGGCACTGACGATGTGGCACTGACGATGTGGCACTGAGGTTGTGACACTGACGATGTGGCACTGAGGATGTGTCACAGGGAATGTGCTACAGGGAAGGTGGCACTGAGGATGTGGCACCGGGAAGGTGGCACTGAGGATGTGGCACTGGGAACATGGTACAGGGAATGTGGCACTGAGGTTGTGGCACTGACGATGTGGCACTGAGGATGTGGCACAGGGAAGGTGGCACTGGGAGCGTGCTGTGTGTGGTGTGGGAGCACTGGGAGTCCCAGTGCCTGCCGTGGAGAGCAGCAGGGGAGGCTGTTCTGGGCACAGAAGGTGGGATTCTCCTGTGGCATTTGTGCCAGGCCAGGCCCCTCTCTGGCCCCTTCGAGGGGGTTGGACTCTTTCCCACCCTCTGGTAATGAATGGGGGCTGCTCAAGGGGTGTCCCCAGGTCCCCCGCACAGTGTGGCAGACGTGAGCCGGGCACTGCTCCCATCCCTGGCCCCAAAATGGTGCCAGGGCAAGGGCCAGGGCATCCTCCCTCCCACATCCACTGGAGCATCCACTGTGCCCTTCCACAGCCCTGGGAGTGGGGCCGGGGCTCGGATAACCCCAAAAAATCCTCTCAGGAGATGTGCTGGGCAGCTGGGGGGCCCTGCAGGTACCCAGGGCCGGCGGGGGCGTGCGGCCCCTCTTCCCTGGGATGGGGCACCTGGAGCTTCCCCAGGGCTTGGCCAGAGCTTGCAGAGCATCCCTGTGCCCATCCCGGCTGTGGCTCTGTGTCACCCGAGGCAGGACACGCCGGAGGAGGCGCCGGCCGGATGCTGCAGTCGGAGCCGTTTCCCGGGGGAGCTGAGCAGCGATTTCAGGATTTCAATATTTGATGTTTTGCTTCTTGCCTGCTGAAAAGGCAGCGGGAAAAAGCCGCGGCTGCGCCGGGGCCGGGCGGGTGCCGAGTTTGAGCCGCCGGATCTGTCCCCAGGGAGGCCAGGAGGGCTCAGGGGTGGCAGAAGGGGGCACAGCGCAGCCCTGGAGCAGAATCCAGCCCGGATCGCGGAGCCCGGCGCTGCCAGGGCTGTGGGTGGCACCAGGGGCTTCCTCTCCTCTGGTGAACACGGAGGATGCCCAGTGCTTTTCCTGGGGCTGTGGATGAACCCCTCCCCAGGCTCCCTCTGGGCTTCGGGGCTCCAGCACCCGGAATTTTGTGGCCGGCACCGGAGGAGGAGCGGCTGGGCTGGGCGCTGTGCCGTGTCCGTGCGGGATGGGGACAGAGCCACCCAGGAATCGGCACTGCCGGCACGGGGGGTCTGTGCTTCCTCACCAGCACTGGAGCTATTTTTGGGCTAGAGCAAGGAGAAATCAGGGAATCAGTGCTGGTAATTAAATAGTGATTAAATATTTACAGGTAGGCCGCAGCGAGGGGAGCCTGGGGCTGGGGCCAAAGGGGTTTTTGGACAGGGGATGGAGGCGGGGGATTTTCTGGGGCACCATGGACAGGCCTTGCCTCTGGAGATGTTTCATCCCTGCTCCTGCCGTGCCCACACCGGGCGTGATGCTTTCCCATTCAGAGATTAATTGCCATGAAATCCTCCGGGTTTTGCTCGGGGTTTTGCTCGGGGTTTTGCAGGCTCAGGGTCCTGTCGTGGGTGGCTGTGGCACCGAGGGGCACAGCGGCAGGGCACAGCGATGGGTGCTCCAACCAGGCAGAGCGGGCTGGCACAGGAGATGCTCCAGGGAAGCACCGGCTCTGCTGCACCTCCCCAGGTCAAGGCTTTGGAAACTCATGTATTTATGTGGGAATCAACATGATTTGCTGATCGGTGTTGATTTCTGCTGGCAGCAGTGAACTCGTGCAGCAGCACAAGCCCAGCACGCCATGGCTGTGTCCCCCCTCGCTGGCTTCAGCTCTCCATGGTCACTGTCCCTTTTCCCAGCTCCTGCAGGGACAGGTCTGGAGCAGGGCCCGGCTTTGTGCTGGGAAAGTGGCTCAGGTGGAAATCTGGAGCAGGAGGATTTTGTTTGCCAAAAGGAAAGAGGAAAAGCTTTGGGAGCTGGGAGTGCTGGCTGTGGCCCCAGGGGATGCTCCCTCGGGATGTGTGTAACTCCTATGGAGTGAATTTTGGGGAATTAGGGACCAGACAGGGAAATTGGGGGGTGCCTGCCCCCCTCTCTTGGGAGGCACAGGAACCGTCACTCTTCCTCAAGTGGGATTGATTGGAGCAGCCCCTTTGCTTATCCCAATCCATAAAATGCTGCAGCCTGCTTGTTCCCCCTTTTAAAGGCAAATTCCTCCCTGGCAGGCTGCCCAGCAGGGCTGGCACAGGGAGATGCTCTCCAGTGAAACCACGGGGGTTTCTCACACTGAGGATGTGCTGTAAAACAGACCAAGGCCGGGTTTTTGTTATTCTCTTTGAAATGTTGTTTTCTGCTGCCCAAACACACCTCAGAGCAGAGCACGGGCTGGAATGTGACTGCTGGGAGAGAGGGATGTGCAAATCCCACCCAGCTCCTGCCTGGGAGAGGAGAAAACACAGGAAAAAATCCCTTCTTCTGTTCAAGGGAGGAAGTGATTCCTGGGGAGTGAGCAGCAGGGATGTGCCAGCGGCGCCTCACTCCCTGCCACCTCCCACTCCTTCAGGATGCTAAAAATATCCCGAGCCGGGGACGGGCGTTGTGGCTGTGCCCGTGGATATTTGCTGCTTTTTTCCCTGTTTGTGCTAATTCTGTGTCACTTCCAATCCTGTCTAAATGACAGTGAAGGTGATTCCCAGAGGAGGAGGCGAAGCTGCTCAGCTCTTGCTCCCAGGTGGGCAGTGCTCCTTGGAGAGGATCCAACCTGTTCATTTCAATAACCAATTTTTTAAATTAAAATAAGCAGGGCTTGTTAATTTTTTTTAAAATTTATTTTTAAACCACCTTAAATCAGGTGCTGAGACATCTTCCATGCCCAAAGCAGATTTAATGCAGTTGATTTGGAGTGGCCTTGGCACAGGGTGCCCAGAGCAGCTGTGGCTGCCCCTGGATCCCTGGCAGTGCCCAAGGCCAGGCTGGACAGGGCTGGGAGCAGCCTGGGACAGTGGGAGGTGTCCCTGCCATGGCAGGGGTGGCACTGGGTGAGCTTTGAGGTCCCTCACAACCCAAACCATTCAGTGACTCTGTGATTTGCACTTTCTGCAAGGCTTTGGGTGAGATGGATTTGTGCAGGAGCCTCTCCTGCTCGCTGTCTGACCCTTTCTCTGTGTTTGCTCCTCATTTCCACTGCTCCAGCACTCCCCTCCCTGTCTCCAAGCTGAGAATCCAGCTGGGAGGGCAGGGGGGGACCAGGCTCAGGAAATAAAGGAGCTGTTTGCAGGGTGACAGCAGCACGCTCTCGCTGCCCCCTGAGGAACCTTTAGGGACGGATTGGCTGAACGACAGCTCTGCCCCAGCTCAAACTGACAGAGCTCGTTTTTCCAAGGGAAAGGATGCACAGAAGTTGTTAAAAACCCCGGATAAAGAAAAAATGGAGCAGATGTGATGTTTAAATGAACCCGAGCAGCTGTGGTGCGGGGGCCCCGGGCTCTGGCTGCTGCGGGTCCATGGGCTGAGCACGGCGGGTTTGTGTCTCCCGCATCCCGGCGCTGCGAGCTCGGGAAGGCGGCTCTGGAGCGGGGAATCCATCCCCGGTGAGCAGCGGAAAGGCTCTGGCGAGGCCCCGGGCAGCAGCTCCGCCTCACATCCCGTGGCTGCCCGTGAAGGCGGCTCCGGAGGGAGCGGAGCCCAGGGAGCCGCGCCTGAGCGGCCGCAGCGCCTCTCTGCGAGCGCTGCCCGCTTCCTTTGGGAGTCTCGAGCCCCGTTTTCCTGGGAAGAACGGAAAAATAAGGGAGAGTGGGAGGCAGGCCCTGGGTTGGTGTGGCACCTGGCAGTGAGCCGTGGAGGTGCTCCATCAGCTCCTGCTTTAGGAGGTGAGGCACGGCTGATGGAGCAGAGATCCCAAAATCCCCCTGCATCCCAAAGGAAAAGCAAATCCCGGGTCCATGGGGTGCAGGGGGTGCTGCTGCGTGTCCCAAACCCTTCACCAACGGCTGCTCCCCTCTCTTGTCCTGCAGAGCCGAGAAGACCGAGGTGTTGAGCGAAGATCTGCTGCAGGTGAGGCTCCCTCGGAGCCATCCCGGGGTGTCCATGGGTGCCTGGGCACCTCCGGGGGGCTGCACCCATCAGCAGCTCCCTGGCGGTGCCACGGCATCCCAAGGGTCCCTGGTGATGGGATCCCCAGTGATGGGATCCCCGGTGATGGGATCCTGGGGTGCTGGGATCCCTGGTTACGGGATCCTGGGGTGCTGGGGTCCCCGGTGATGGGATCCTGGGGTGCTGGGATCCCTGGTTACGGGATCCTGGGGTGCTGGGGTCCCCGGTGACGGCCCCGTCGCTCCCGCAGGTGGAGAAGCGGCTGGAGCTGGTGAAGCAGGTGTCCCACAGCACCCACAAGAAGCTGACAGCCTGTCTGCAGGGCCAGCAGGGCCTGGACGCCGACAAGCGCTCGGTGAGGGCGGCGGGGACGGAGCTCCGGGATCCAGGGACCCGGGGGATCCGGGATCCAGGGATCTGGGGGATCCAGGGATGCGGGAATCCAGGGGGAACACAGCCCCTCTCTCTGCAGAAAAAGCTGCCCCTGACGACGCTGGCGCAGTGTCTGATGGAGGGATCGGCCGTGCTGGGGGACGATTCCCTGCTGGGGTAAGGGGGGCTGGGGCCGCCCGGGGCCAGACTGCCCTGGGAATGGGCTGGGAATGGGCTGGGAATG